GAGCCCACCCCTCACTCTTCTCTCCTTTAAGATGATTCTCAAAAACGACCTCTTTGACCAAGCTTTCGATCCCCGGTCCTAATCTCCATGGGGATCAACGTCAAATTTTGTCTGTTAATGGTTCCTGTGAAGTATCTTGGGGGCCATTTGACTATGCTAATGGAGCTATGTAAATGTATGCTAATACCTGGGCCATTCACCAGGGGACAGCTGCTATAAACCAGAGAGAGAGCCTCACTCTCCTCTGTTTCCCCTTTTTTCCAAAATAGAACAACAGTCTAAACCCAAACGCACTGTACTATGGGCACTAGGTTAATATTGAGTGAGGACAGGCTGACTGAGGAGGAGCCGCACACTGGTGTCTGCTAGGATGGGGCCTCACTTTAAGCAATGACATGGCAGGCAGGACTTCACACTTCTGGTGAGATAGTGGTGGAAAAGGGCTTATGAGCCGTCGACTTTTCTTTTTGCCTTTTCTTCCTCTCTCCCCTCGTTTGACTTTACGTAGATCTTGGTGAACAGCTCAGTTGTGGTAACAGCGATGGTGAGTAGGCCCAGCAGCGTGGGCATGTGGTGGCGGCGTCAGAGGTGGGGAGTTTGTTCCCAGCAGCTTCTGCACTGTTGAGGCAGTCCTGGTGCTGAGTCATGGTTGACACAGCCAGTTAGGGTTCGCCAATGGCGTCTGTATCCAGCCCAGGTTCATGGAGGTGACGGCTAGTTTGGGCCTGTGCAGTGGCATCGGTAGCATCTGCATTGGCGAGATCCATCGAGGGCTCATTGTGGCGAGGGTCTCGGTGGAGGCGAGATAGTGACGAAGATCAGCGATTTTCATTCCAATGGTGGCGCAGCAAAGGGAGGGTCTCGTGCCTGGCCACCAGGCCCACGGCAGAGCATGTAACAAGAAGGACTGAAAAGTTGAACACTTTTTCTTTATTTCTTCATTTTTCATACCTTTGTGTTCTATGTTTTGGCTTGTTTTTCTGTGTTTTAAGATGGAGCTGGAAAGTGGTGACACTACGCAACACTTTTCGCTATGTTTTGTAACAAAATACAGTGACAATAAACAAACAAATTAAATCACGTTGGCAGAGGAGAAACTCCCCAAGGATATATATCAAGTGTACGATCTGACTCTGAGCTGAAGCTAATTGGTTCCATGTGGGAGCGTGGTAAGTGGGTAGATGGGGCACCTTAGACAAGAACGTGGGAGGCCACGGTGAATGAGGGCAGCGACAGAGGAAAGAGAACACGGCCCAGCTCCAGGACACTGGGTCAAAAAGATCTGAAGCACAGCACGGAAACTGCAGAGCTAAACCTGACTTTACTCCTCAGTAAGAGCCTCTATCAGGAGCTGCAGGTGAATCAGACTGGTGAGAGGACAGTGCAGTTGTAGATACAGTCACCAGTGTGCTGGTGTTGCTGTGTGGGAGAGGTGAGCACTGGTGACAGGTTTATCAATGCTGCTGGAGTACTGCTGCACACGGCCAACCCTATCACTGGGGTCATGGCCCAGATATGTTGAAACTCACAGTGTCACTGCTCACTAAGCACCATCTAGGGAAGGCCCTACCAAAACATCTGCTCGCTTCAGCCCAGCTCGTCCCTGCCTCCCTAACCTGTCCTTCCTCCCACCTATCCCCTCCTCCCACCTCAAGCCCTACCCCCATCTCCTAACAACCTCATCCCAACCCCTTGACCTGTCCATCCTCCCTGGACTGACCTATCTCCTCCCTACCTCCCCACCTACACTCACCGTTACTGGCTCCATCCCCGCCTCTTCGACCTGTTTGTTTCCTCTCCACCTATCTTCTCCTCTATCCATCTTCTATCCCCCTCCCCCTCTCTCCCTATTTATTTCAAAACCCCCTTCCCCTCACCCATTTCTGAAGAAGGGTCTAGGCCCGAAACGTCAGCTTTCCTGCTCGGCCTGCTGTGCTCATCCAGCTCTACACCTTGTTATCTCAGATTCTCCAGCATCAGCAGTTCCTGCTACCTCTGTAAAAAAAAGCTGATGGATTTGGAGCACTGAGAACAGTAGCAGCTGCTTTTACCCTGCCTGGAAATGGAGGTTATTAGTGAGTGAAGATAACTCCTACCAGGTTGACACTTTGCTCTCAATTCCTACTCAAACATTTTGCTCCAACACAGGGTTAACAAATACCATGTAGTCACTTTGACTTTTAAATCAAGCTGTTGGGATATGTTAGGACATACTGTGTGGCTTGAACCCAGGCCTCCAGGGCCAGAGGGAGAGTTATTACAACTTTATCACATGATCTTATTTCATAGTATTAGCCTGGATTGCTGGTCCAGTGCAGCAGTGGTTCTTGTCATCTTGAAAGTTATGCTGCAACCATCATGAATGTACATTCTCCCTCTCTGCTAGCCAACTCATGGCAGCACAGCTCAGTGACGAATGAGTGCGTGCGTGAGAGAGCGTGCATGTTAATGTGACAGTGTGTGTTTGTGCGAGACAGAGAGTGAGAGAGAGTATGGTGTGTGAGGGTGATTATGCTAGAGAGTACTGCGGGGTGTGTGTGCGAGTGTGACTGTGTTAGAGAGTATGGCGGCGTGTGTGTGTGTGTGTGTGTGAGAGAGAGAGAGAATGGTGTGAGTGAGAGACAGTATGGCAGTGTGTGTGAGAGACAGTACGGCGGGGTGTGTGTGTGAGAGACAGTACGGCGGGGTGTGCGCGTG